GATTAATTTGTTATAAAATTTCTTCAAAAAAATATTGACAAAAATTGGCCCTTGGCTTAGACCTCATTTTGATTTTTGGCCTTCTTGTGTAACTGAGTTTGAACCGACTGGTTTTAAGTGTGTTTATATTGCATGTTTTTTTAGCTTCTTTGTATATTGAATAAAAACCAATTGATGAAAAAAATGCATCAATAACCAATACAAAGCAGTATAATTTACAATAAATGTATACATTTAATATCCTCTTGTTAAACAGAAAAGAAAAATCAAGCCAACTTCAGATATATATTAGTTTTTATCATTATGTTGCGTTTTATTTGCACTTTTAGATGTTTATGTGGGGTACTGATTTGAAATTATGCTGTTTTTTTTTTTTTTTTTGCTATAAAACAGTCTCAGATTTACAACTCCCTTTTTGAAAAATTAAAAATCCTTCTGCTTTTTGAACAGTTTACTTGGCCATTAGTAACTCCACACACTCTGAGAGGAAATTTGAAAAATCACAACATATTGAGAAAGAAACAACAGTGTTGGCCGAGTATAAATAGACGTCCTGACTCCTGAACGGTCGGGCTGAGTTTAAAGGCTGTCTGTGGCGACACTGGTGACCTGCGGCTGCACTCTGTTCCTGTTGCAGCTGAAGAGCCAGGCTGCCCTCCTGTGGCGGTACCGCTTCGACAGCAGCACGTACAGCACAGGGTTGATGCAGGGGTGCAGGTACTGCAGCATGGTGCAAATGAAGTAGAACATATCCCAGGCGTGTCCGTGCCGATACAGCCCCAGGTACACGCACAGCTCCAGCACATAACCAGGCAGCCAACACACGGAGAAGGTAGCAGCTGCCAAAAACACCATGACAGAGGCTCTGCGAGTGTTCCTGGCGCTGGACACTGACATTACAGGGCTCTTGTGGAGAAACAGGGCCAGGCGCACATAGTTGAAGGCGATGACGAGCATTGGAATAAAGTAGTAAAGCACAAACTGGCTGAGGACCACTTGGTAGTGATGCTCATGAATGGTTGGAAGGCAGAAACTGAAGTTTGCCAAGCTCAGGTTCAGACTTTCCTTGGTGGCAAACATTCGCAGAGGCAGGCTGATGAAGAAACTCAGGGCCCAGACCAAAACAAACATGAGGATCACCAGGTCCATGGTGGGCGGCTGGTACGGGTTGGTGATGATCATGGCCCGAGTCATGGACACGGCGCACAGGGAGTAGGTACTGGCTGCCAGGCTGAACGCCAGCAGGAACTGATAGACCTTGCAGGAGATTTCACCCAGAGGCCAAGTGTAGCTCACGGCCGAGTGGAGGGTGAAGGGGATGAGGAGGAGGGTCAGGAAGTCGGCCAGAGTCATGCTGAGGAGGAGGATGTCCAGGCGGTTCTTACGTAACGTGTTGTTCTTCACAAACAAGGAGAAGACCAGCAGGTTGGCGCACAGACCGATGCCCAGAATCACCCCACAGATGCAGGCGAAGATCACGCCGTACGTGTTGGGAACAGACATGTTCTCATCAGCCTGACACCTGACAGGAAGACTTAGCAAAAACAGGTTCAGTTTTACACCAGAAAAATATCTTTAACTTTTAATAAATCAACCTTTAAAGCTATATAATGAGCCTTTATTATTATTATTATTATTATTATTATTATTATTATTATTATTATTATTATTATTATTGTTATTATTAAAATGTTAAAGGGGAATAATTTTCTTAATTTGTGGTACAAAACACAGATTACATTTTCTATAAAAAAAATAACTTTTGTTTTAAATTTCTTAGACACTAGATGTAACAATACATTGATCCATAAAAAATAATAAATATCATATATAATAGGAAATATACTGTAAGTTGTCAGATAAAGAAGAGTAAATGATAAATTGTGAGCTTTTGTTTCACATCTAACTACAAAATGCAACTAAAAAAATCAATGAAGCTGCAAACAATAAATATTTCAGTAGAAGTTGACTAAGACAGGTGCATTTTATACTACACTAAAACACAGTCCAGTGAATGAGTTTTGCCATAATTACCATTGTTGTTACTCAGTTGTCTCGTCTTCGATGTCTTTGAACTATCCACATCACTGGATATTTTTCTTTATGTCCCGTCAAAATGATCTGAGCAAGAAGCAGAGGTGGCCGCCTCCCAGGTCTCATTACAAAGCGTGACAGCTAAACGTGAAGGAGCACAAAGCAAACATTGGCTGGGCCAAATTGATTCTGGTCGACTGGATTTAAAGAGAAATGGCCTCTGCTGTCCAGCTGCTGCAGGATCATCACTGACTGTCTGCTTTATTAGATGAGAATTTCTCATAAAGTTTTTAACTGATTTTATAGTGTGGCAATAAATAAACAAAGATGTTTATAATACCTCATTACTGTTTAAACTCTTTAAGCCTGAAAGCACTGTAACATACTGTATGTATTACATCATAAATGAGTTGTGCAGATTCTGGATTCATCATTATGTTGCATAAATGTTCATGTAAGAGTTATTTGAACAATATTAAGAAACACAAACATACTTAGTGTGACTCTTTGCAGGTACACCTACAGTTTGATATGAACCGTTTTAAAATGCTAAATTAAACTTTGATTAGTTGTTTGTGATTTCACTCCTACAATAAATCCATGGTGTCCCCACGCCCCACGCCCCCTCTACAGATATTAATGTTTCTCCACATTGCTTTAATTGATTTCTCCAGTATGATCTGCCGGCTCCTCTTTATCAGGCTTTTTTCCATCACCTTTATGGCTCTGTGTCAGCTAATGGCCTGTGGTGTACACTGCTGTTAGCACAGGATATAGCTGACGTTGACGCATTTGGTAACCCCTGCCATTACCAGTATCTGTGTCTTTCATGACACATGTTCTCAAGTGGGACGTTAACAGTTTGACTGTTCTCTGTCCTCACCAAAAAAAGACCCCAAAAAAGTCAACAGAATGAGTTGATGTGGGACATGCTGAGGGATGTACTGAACGTCTCGAAGCGACCCAGTGGCCATGAGTAGAATGAAGACATGAACATCATGTTATCCATCTCAGTTATTTATCACCTTTTTTTTTACTTCAAAACTTTGTGCAACTTATATGACAAGAAGTGGCTAAATTTAGTTTGTGAATTGCAGAGGGTTTATCTCTTTTGAAGAAAAGCTCAGAGTTGCTCCTTTAAAAGTTTCTTAAAGTATTTTTTTTTAGTTTTCTGATTCTGACATCTCTTAATTAACTTATTTGAACACGGCTAAACTGTTGCCAATCAGCGGTACAGTCTGCAAACATCTATCCATGCATTTTTCTTCCTGTGTAGTGTGGAGTTGGTGCCTCTGTCCAGCAGTCACTGTGCGAGAGGAGGAGGAGAACGCGGGTCCATAACAAGAACACAAAGAAACAAACAGCCCTTCACATCCTCCCTCACACTTAAATACAATTTAGAGTTTCCTAACATGCATGCGGTAGTGAAAACCCACACACGCATGGATGGATGTTCAAACTTTATACAGAAAGACTGGTAGAGAACCAGCAGTCTTAACCACTTCACCACTGCATCGCCCTGCCTGTGAACACTGACATTTACAGATATTAATTATTTCAAAGTTTGCTTCCACGGTGTTTTTAAATGTTTTTGTCTGAAAGTTTTATGGTGTACCTGCATAATTCCAATCATACAAAACTGTCAACAAACTTTGTGACAATTAAGTTTTGTGTCATTTTCAAAAAGTTTGACCATGCATGTGGGTTAGTTGTCTGATTGTGGGTAAAAGGTTCATTATTTGACAAAATTATTTTCTAAAGTCATTCATGTTTTAGTCTGGTTTTTATGTAGCTACTTGAGAATTAAAACTTATTATTATTATTATTATTATTATTATTATTATTATTATTATTATTATTATTATTAAAACTAATAAAATAAAAGAACAAGAACAAATGAATAAAATGACATAAACATTGTCCAGAGTTGGGAAAAGGCTCCTCTTTAAGCCCCGTTGAAAACATCTATATATCTTTTGATCAAACTCTCTGGAACTCTAAGATGTGTTTAGTCTGTGCTAACTAGTTAACTCAGTAGCTCTCTGATCTCATGTGAATGTACACATGTGCAGTTTTTGATAAAGTTTCTTAGTCATTACTGTACAACTTTATCAAATGATTTGTAAAGAAAAGAAATAAAACCTCCAAAACTGAAGTGCTTTTCTGTCCTCTTCAAACAAAAGTATTTCACAGCTCAACTGAAATTTAAAAGCTTTTGGCTCAAAAAGCCGAAGTCTGAGGCCATGGTTCTCCACCAGAAAAGGCTGGAATGCTCCCTCCTGGTCGTGAGTGAGTCTGAGCCTCAAGTTTATGTATCTTGGAGTCTTGTTCTGCAGTAATAGTGGGATGAAGTGGGAGAAAGACTGACAGATGGAGGCCTTGTTTGAAGGTACGAGGGCGTTGCTTTGGAGTCGAGTCGAAAGGCAAAACTCTCGATTTCAACCCTCAGCCGTGGTCACGAGATTTGAATCATGGCTGAAAGAACTACATCCTGGATACAAACCATTGAAATCAGCTTCCTTTAGGGTGGCTGGGTTCAGCCCTAGAGATAAGGTGGAGTAAAGCTGCTGGTCCTCTGCATTGAAACGAGTCAACTGAGGCAGATTGGGAATCGACCACCAGACTTTTTCCTACTTCCCTTCGGAGCAGAACTTTATTGTTCCCTCTCTGTCCTGGGAACACCTTGGGATCCCCCGGGAGGAGAGAGTCAATGAGGCAGAAGATGAGTGGGTGGATGGATAGCTTGTAAAAAATACTGAAACAATTTTTGGAGAGTATTTACTGTGACCTAAATCCTCAAATTTTGTTGAGCTACTTTATTTATACCTGTAACAAATGCTGGATATGACTGGTAAGAGGACATTTTCTATGTTGTTAAATAAAGACACCATGAATCAAATTAGATCTACATCTACTGGATACATTTTATTGTTTGATTAACTGGAAACATGTACAGCATTCCCTCAGTGCATGTCCAGAACATTGAGTCTGAAAGCCCCTGACTTTGGCTTATTTCCAAAAGAAAAAAAATATGTAAAACTTTGGTCTGATGATGTTTCCAATAAGTTATGAGTCCATGAGGCATCTGAGGTGAAAAAGAAAAGTAGTACCATCAACGAGAATCACTAAATTAAAACTCAACCACAACAGAACATATACAGGATGTAACTAAAGTGCATAATGGGATTCAGTCAGCAGCACCACAATACATTCACAAAATAAATATAGATTTTCATAGTGAAATAAATTATGGCCGAACCATTTGAACAGATGTATTAGTTTGTCATAACTCCAAGTCCACGATAAGCAACACAAACAGAGCCAAAAGAAAGATGATCTCACAATCCTTTTGTCTTGTTTTTTTTTTTGTTATACATCAGAAATAAACACTTCCTCATGTGCTCCGTGTGTGTGTGTGCACACCTGGTTAGAAAATACAATGAACACCTTTGTTTGAAAGGACATCCAAGTTACAGAGGTGTGTAGACGTTCCAAATAAACATGGACTCGAGAAGATGTCAACTTCAGGAAGTATGAGGAAACGAACATACAAACATTATCATACAAGCGCAGCCCTGGTGCCACGAACAGTCTGTCAGGTGTCAGTCAGTGTGTAGCAGTGTCTTAGTGCAGCACCAAATCAAAGGTCCTGGCAAGTCTCTGAGCGCGGTTCTGGGTCACCTCATGGCCCCGCCGCGAAGGCAGACCGCGCTCGCCTCCGTTTCTTTTCGCTGTCTCGGCGCCGGCCCAGCCTGACTTTTTTTTTCCTTTTGGTGGCAACTTTCAAGGGCTGGTCCTTGAACGCCATGACCTTGTTGGTCTCCTGGGGGAGGTTAGGCCCGTCCCCGTCGGCGCTGAACTTCTCGGGCAGGTCTTTGGTGGCCTCAGAGGGCTTTTGGAGTTGTGTTTTTACACTGAAAGTCTGGCTCGGGGTCTTGCTTTGCACGGGCGGCGCAGGCTTGTCGGCCGTGTGCACTTGCTTCAGCAGTTCTTGCAGCCACATGCGGCGCCTGAACTCCTGCATGGAGCGGCTCTTGTCGTGCATCAGCTGGGTGTGGCTCACAGACCTCCTCCTTATAGAAACAAAGTGGCACAAAGGCAAATCAACAGTTAGCACAGAGACACTGATGACAAACATTACTCTTCATAGATTATTCACTTTTAGTCCATTTGATCACAAGTTTTACAGTCCTTAACATTAACACTGTTGTAACTTTGCCTAGAAATACTTGATCCCTCAGTGTTGAGTTTATGAGTTTTTGTGTGGGATAGTTGTAGAAGTGCTGAAATTTAAGGTCAGGATTCAGGAAACCTCAGTACAGTAGGTGGCAGCACAAACATGTCTGAGACCTGTCACTAATCTGAGTTTAAGACCGAACCCTAAAAGACTTTTTACTCTTTTTAAAATAAAAACAAAGCAAATATTTCAGATTTTTCTGACAACTTATATTCATTACGCACAGAATTTTAAAATGTCAATGCTCACTGTGGACATTTGTTTTCTTAAAGTTTCGAGAAAATGTTTGTAAAAAAAATAAAAAATTGACTCACGTTCTGTTAATAAGTGCATCAACCGGTCTCTTTTCAAGAGCTATGGGGAAGCAGAGCAAGAACACAGCCAGAATCCACTGATAAAGCAAATTTAAAGAGGACATGCTTGAGCCAAACACCTAAAAAAACACAATAATATTATCAGTAATTTAATTATTTATTCAAACACATTTAACAGTTTAATGTTGTCTCATTCATATTAAATGTTTGTTCATTATTTGACATCTTTCATGTTTATCAATAATATAAGAATAAAAAGTTTGACTTACAGAGTGTATTTTTTCCCTCAAATGAAAATCCACAAAAAGGTCCAAGTTGTTAAAGTGATCTCTTCAGGTGAAATGACTTTACAGATGATCAGTTATTCAGCCAAACAAAATTTGGTCCATTCTGAACTTTGTTTCCAGATCCTTTGGTGTGAGTGTTGGGAAAATCCCCATGAGTCTCCTCCATTCATTTACCTCCCAACAGCGAGTTCTTTATTTCTCCCTGGAGTCCAAACAAATAAGATAAAGATAGAGAGGGCAGCAGCCCATCAGCTGCAGAGCTGCAACTCTGCTCCGTCCTGCAGGAACCTCATGAAGAGTCAGACTGAAGCATCATCTCTGGTGGCCCCCCGAGCTGAGGGCAGAGCTGAGAGAACTCTGCAGTCCGGTGCTGAGAGTGAGTCCGTGTGAGAGAGAGAAAACTTAACTCCACTTTAGGTGAAGATGCGTGCACCACCTCAGCCCCTATCCTGGCTTTACACCCTCCCCAACCCTCACTTCTGTCCCACCCCTCTACCCTCCAGACACACCTGCTGTGGCATGGAAATGCTCTCATCTGCAGGAGAGAGAATGCTCAACAAACAAGGGGGGAAAAGTAACTTTTAATACTTGTGTCTGCACTTTTAATCAAAAACTTCTAAATAATTTATTTTTAAAAAATCCTGGTTCAAAAAGAGACAGGTGTGCATTAACAGAAGTGATCCTGAGTTACCCAGTGAAGAGTGAACCGTTTAAGGGGAGGGGGCGGGGATACTCCAAGGTAAACACCCAGACCTTAACCACTTTCCCAGGAGAGAATGACCATAACCTCAGAGAAACCCAACCCACAGCCTCTCACTGCAGACCATTCAGTCCTTCCTCAGCTCACCACCAAATGGTCACAGTGGCTTCTGAGGAGGATCTCATATTCATCTAATAGAAGGAGAGGAGAACTTTACTCTAATGTAGCCGTTTATAACCCACTGTTGAAGTGCTGAATACATCCTAAAGTTTTATTTAAGTGCTACTTCCGATTTTTTTGAAGTTGAGATCTGTGGAGGTTATGAGTACTTAACATCTTACCTGCTGAATATAACTCTTTAAAGTAAATCAGTTCA